GACTTGACGGCAAACAACAACAACGACATATATAGTAAGTTAAGAGTGCCCTCTTCTGGTAATGTGGTTTTCTTACTTTTATATAATTTGAATTTCTTAAATTAAAAATAGGAAAAGTAGCCACAAGCTAGAAAATCAGCAGACTTACTACCCTTTTTCAACATTTTCTTTTTTGTTGTAGTGGTAGGTGAAGTAAGTGCACACATGAACTCTGGATCCTCTTTGAGCTTGGAAGATCCTACTGAAGAAAACCACAGAATTATTGATATGAAACAAATGTTCTCCCATGCTTAGTTACACATATTTTCTAAGGATAAGAGAATCTCTTTTACATTCTCTATGATAAGAACTTATGATATTAAATAAAAATACATAGTAACTAGAGTTGCTACTTCTGATGACAAACATTTATCTCCAATTCAGAAAAATGATATATGTGATTCATAGTAAGACTGCTATCTTCTCTTTGAGAAAGAGAAGTGAAAGGAAGTGCTGTTGTTGTTGTTAGGTGTTGTAGTCAATTTCAAGCCACAAGGACCCAACGTAACAGAGCAGAACTGCCCCACAGGGTTTCCTAGGCTCGAATTTTTATGGTTGCAGATCACCAGATCTTTTCTCTCAGAGGCACTGGGTGGGTTCAAACCACCAACCTTTCAGTTAGCAGTCAAGCAATAAACCACTGTGCCACCAGGGCTTCTTAAAGTATGAACATACGCTCCTAGGAGGAAGACTTTTCAAGACATAGATTTATGGTTTTTGATGATGAGGCTGCCTAAAGTCAGTTGTTGTTGTTAGGTGCCATTGAGTCAGCTCTGACTCATAGTGACCTCTATGTACAAGAGAACAAAAAACACTGCCCAGTCCTGTGCCATTCTCACAATCCTTGCTGTGCTGAAGCCCATCATTGCAGGCACTGTGTCAATCCACTTCATTGCGGGTCTTCTCTTTTTTCACTAACCCTCTACTTTACCAAGCATGATATCCTTCTCTAGGGAATGGTCCCTTCTGACAACATAATTAAAGTAGGTGAGACGAAGTCTGGCCACTCTCACTTCCAAAAAGGATCCTGCCCGCACTTCTTCTAGGACTGATTTGTTTGTTCTTCTGGTAGTCCATTGTATTTTCAGTATTCTTAGCCAACACCACAACTCAAAGGCATCAGCTCTTCTTCAGTCTTCCTTATTCATTGTTCAGTTTTCACATGCATAAGGTGAATGAAAATACCACGGCTTGCATTAGACGTACACTAGCCTTCAAAGTGACATCTTTGCTCCTTAACACTTCAAAAGATCTTTTGCAGCAGATGTGCCCAGTGTAGTACAACACCTGATTTCTTGACTGTACTTCCATGGGTATTGAGTGTGGATCCATGGCTGAGTATTGTGGCTACCACTCATCTGTCAGTCTGTCATACTCTGGTGGCTAGCATGTTGCTGTGAGGCTAGAAGCTATGCAACTGGTATTTCAAATACCAGCAGGGTCACCCCTGGTGGACAGGTTTCAGACTAAGACAGACTGGGAAGGATGGGGTCATCCACTTCTGAAAAACTGGCTAGTGAAAACCTATGAATAGCAATGAAATACCATCTGATATACTACTAAAGTCAGTTGTGAACAGTCATGTTCCAAAGTCAATACAATTTCTCAACTAATTAGGACCACATAAGGAAATATCTAAATTCAAGAAATGATGTGTTTTAAAAACGGGGGGGGATACTCACTGATTACTTTCACATCTGTATGATACTACGCATTAATAATAATAGTATACCAAGAGTGCACTCTCAACCTACTTTTCTTCTCTGCATCGTTCCAATTTTAGTATATGTGCTGCAGAAGCAAGCACTCAACCTACTTTTGTAATTACTGTGCATACATATACAAATAAGGTTTAGTAAAGTCATTTTCTACATAGTAGAACATTTTTTATTTCACTTGAAGTTGGTTTAAATATTATTCCTTAGAATTTAATTGAAACCATTTACTCAGTTGGTTTCATTCATTTAATTAATACCCTTGATAAGGCTCATTCCATGAAGAGTTCAAATATAGAGATGATCCAAGTTTAAGATCCATTACTAAAGAACTCAAAGCTAGAAAGATACAAATCAATGAAGTTTTACTTACTAGTTTGCAAATGCAAATTACAAGTATTTAGAAAATATATAAACATACCTTTTCCCCTGTTTTTAGCCTCTGACTTTACATTTTTCAGTTTGCCTAAAAGATAAAACCAAAGTAAACATAAAATGAGTCACACTAGGAGATTAGAATATAGAACACAGGATCAAATCAAATTCCATTTCATATTACCTTTTGTTTTCTGTGGTAATTCATTTGTTTCAAATTCTTCTGAATCACTGCTTTCGATATACTTGTCAACAGTTTTTCTCCTAAAATGAAGTACACACAAAAACATTTTTTTACCAACCCACAGCACAAGGGGATATAAAAACATAACTTTAATAAATGCAGTAAAAATGATTTTGTCTTGCCCCTAATTATATATATTTTTAATTTAATGGGAGCCTTGTATTTGAGAAAGCAAAGTCAAATATGCTAAAAAGTAATCTGCTTTCATTTAGTATACAAACTATAATACCACAATTATTAAAATAAATGGGAAGAATTAGATCATCCTAAAGTTGGAAGAATTAAATCATTCTAAAAAGGTAATCATTTTAATACTGAGTTCAATATTTGGTAATCAGAATATTTATATAAGACTAGATCAATAACAAACAAAAGGCTCTTAGCAAAGAAAACATTTACAGTATAATGCAAAAAGCAGCCAAAAGGTATAAATATCATTTTCACAATGAAAACTTTTATGTGGAAACAGTTTAGCACAGTGGTTAAGTAGCTAAGAACAATGAACTCCAGAGTTAAGACTACCTAGAATCAAATCCCTATTCCACCACTTGTTAACCATGTGACTTTATGCAAGTCACCTAATATTCCTCTGTTTCAGTGTCCTCATTTGGAAAATGGGTATAAAAATATAATCTACCTCACAGGACAAAATGTGTTAATATATGTCAAATAAACAGGTATGTAATTACTATGTGTGTTGGCTATTGTTTTAGTTTTTCCATATCCTCATTGTTATTTTCATGGCCTGCAATTTGATCTTTTCTACCAAGCAATGCTGTTATCCAGGTTTATGGTCAGTTCAGACTTGTAAGATATGAGCTCTAGATGAGAGGTGATTTTGGCAGTTTCAAATAATAATAAAAACAAAAATGTATTTGAAAGAACAATGTAACTAAGGTATGACGGCTGTTTTTCTCTTCTATGTATAAATAAGAAAACTTGAGTTAAAATAAACATATTACATACCAAATCATAATACAGTTTACCTTTTGGGGCGGGGGCTAGAAAACTCTGACATGGGGTATTTATTCTTTTCCTGGACATCTGAAATACTGGGTTCTGTGCTACATCTAGATCCTTCTATTTCAAAGAAAAAGACAAATATCATACAGAGTATAAATAAATTGTCTTAGACTAGCAGTATTCCTCTTAATAACCTGGTTTTCCAACTCAGTAGTTATTCAACTTTCCTAAGATCTTTATTCCTTTCAAGTCCTGTTTTCTCAATAAATCATCCAGCTACTTTGTTTCCTAATCTAGTATTTTCTCCCTAAAAAATTCTCCAATTTCTTATGACCCAGTCTGTCCCACATAGCCAATCCCTACCCTGGCTGAATTTCCAGCAGTATCAAGGCTTAGCAACTTTTACCTACTCCTGTTCAGTCTCCCTGCCTCCCCACTCACCAGAATGACCCTTGTCTAGATTCCAACTTTCACTCCCAGCCCAGCTTAGTTCACTTCACAAAAGAAAATCCAGTGCTATTTTCCAAAAATTTCCAATTTCCCTGTCTTTATCCCCTCCTTTATCTATAATCTCCCTCAACCTTACTTCCTTTCCTTGTAACACAGGAAAGATATCCCCTTTCAACTTATCTACCTATTCTCTTAGTCACATTTCCACCCACATACAAATCCTTTATTCTCTCCATTTATCCACAATCTCTTCCTAACCACAGATGTATTTCCTACAACCAAAACAATCAAAAACAAAAACTCTTAACTCAACTTCCCTCTCTAACTATTATTCACTCTCTCCTTTCCCAAACTTAACAAGGTAATAGTATACAATTCTTCATCTACTATTCTTATTGTGAAATATTTTTCAGTCTTGCTCTGCTCTAACCAATCTTCAGGAATTAATTTTGTGAAGAGCATATAACTGCTAAACATAGAGATCGGTTTCCATTTATTTTCTGACTTCAGAATTTAGCTCTAACCTATCTTTCTAGCTTTATCTAGCAACAGATGAAGAGATCCCTACTCATTATATTATAAACACCATAACCTACTCTAAGATCCTAGAATAAAACATCGTATATTTTTTCACTGCTCTTTCATGGGCTTTTTTCCTTAATCAAAAATGCTTTCCCAGTTTTCTGACTGGAGCTCCATCACCCTATGTAAACATAAGACCTCTTTGATGAAACTTTCCCTAACAATTCTCATGAGATTCTTTAGAAAGAGATATCCAAAATTTTTCTATCCTACAAAACCAATAGGGTGAAAAAAACTAAATCAAATATCGGGTCACATTCAAAATTAAATTTTACCTTTGATTAGTCCATCTGCTTTTTCACTGGTAATGTTTCCTTCAAGTTCCACAGATTCACTGTTAACATTACATTCCTAGAGGAATACACATAGTTTTTATATGGTACTGCTATCAGTTTGAAATAAATTTAAAATGCTTTATTTTATAAGCTTTACTTTACATAAAACAAACAACAAATGAGTTGGCCACTGAGTCAATCCTACCTCATGGTAACCCTATGAGTTTCAGAGGAGAACTGCCCTCCATAGGGTTTTCAAGGGCTGTAATCTTTTGGCAGCAGAGTTCCAGGCTTTCTTCCCCGGTGCCTCTGGGTAGATTCCAACTATCAGGCTTTCAGTTACCAGCCCAGGGCTTAATCATTTGTGTCACCCAGCAAGGGCTATTTTACACATTAAAGACTACTTAAATTACTACCCTATTCTGGAGCAATGAAGAAGGATGAATTAACTGAAGAGGAAAAATGTATAAATGTATAAAGAACAGGACTCAAAGGGTTGGCTATTCAGGATAAAGAACTGGATCTGAGATAATGGACTTAACTCTCAGTGAAAGTAGAAAGAAGGAAATGCATTAAGTGCAGAAATTAGTGAAACAGAAACTCAGTAAGTAGTGGCAGAAAACTGATGTGCAGCCTCTCTGAAAACTAAAAAATGAGAAGTTATTCAGAAGAGTCTGAAAAGAAGAATTTTGCATACATATTTTTACTTAGTTATTTCCTATTTTAAGCTCTTTGAATTTCAAGTGGGAATAAAGGATAACAACATACATCTTTCTTATTGAAATTAATTCACTTTAAATTCTTAGAAATATAAATATATAATATGCATACAGCAACCCCTCCTTGGGTTTCTGAGGCAGTATCTCTATGGAAGCAGACTGCTCAGTCTTCCTTCCAAGGAGTGGCTGATGGGTTTGAACCACCAGCCTTCTGGTTAGCAGTCAAATGTCTTAGGCACTACACCACCAGAGCTCCTTTAATTATATATATATGTTAAATATAAAGAAAAGTCACCCTATTCCCATCGCTAGAGGATAATTAACTCTATTACCATTTTTGTACATATCCTGCACAAATATACTAACTTAGACATACATAAACATATACAGTAACCTCTCATCATTCACAGTGGTTACATTCTATAAAGTCAGCACAAACACTAAATTACCAAATACTGAACTACTGCTCCTTGGGGAGATAGAGGACTAGGTTCCTATGAAGCTGGGATCGCACGTTTTCATCAACCAATTGATTCATAATCTTATTTGGTGTGTGTCTGTTTAAAGACACTTTATTTAATATATATCGTTGATTCATTGCCAACAGCATTATAGCTCTATCTGAATGAAGCTTATTTAACACACATTATTTTCTCTATAAGGCACATCACAGCCTTGCACTTAGAACACTTAGATAGTACTTCAGCACTACATTTGGGGAGCCATTTTAAAAGTGAAATTACCAACAAAAAAGCACAAAAATGCAAATAATGTGGTAATAAATATATCTTGAAAAGGATACTTGCTTATAGTATGAAAGCTGAAACAAGGCAACTCAAATTACTTGCAGCTCTGCACATGTTTGAAAATGACTGCAAAAGTGCCAAGAATATTGATTTCAGAGTTACAAACAAATTGTAGCTGTAGGCTATTTCACAAATAGG